ACCCCAAAACCCCAAAACCCCAAAACCCCAAAACCCCTTTGGGGTTGTTTTTTATTGAATTTGGATTATAGGTGGAAATATGAGTGGGGAGGTTATTGGAGTTAGTGAGTTTTTAAGCAGAACGATTGATACATCGAAGCATCTTAAGAGCTATCAGAAGTAATTAATACAAAGACAAACTTATAAAACGCTTTCTGTATCCTCGACTATGAAATTTCTAAATTACTAAACTCTTTTGTACATTTTATGTCAAATTAAAACTTCTCACAAAGCAGAAGTGCTTATTATCCGCACCAATCTGACATACTAAATAGGTCTAGTCTCAATAAGAGAAGAATCAGAGGTGGAGTCAGTAAAGAAGAATACGAAAAAATGTTCGGACATCATAATCGGAGAAAGCAACCTAGCTTCATGCAGAAAAATGATAGCTTCAGTTCGATAGGATGGGGAGTAGGCAAAAAGAAGCTTATTACCCTCCCAGCCCTCTCAGATCAGTCAAAATAATGCCTTAAAGAAGAGGAAATCTGTTGAAGAAACTGCTGCCAAGGTTTATCTCAACTCTCCTATGAAACTAAATGATGATTGCTTAAACTCTCAAGAATCTCCACAAGGAATGGACAGAAAGCCATCTTTTAACAATAGAGATTTTGTCAAACAAATTGATAGGGAATATAGCTCAACAGGAGCAAGTGGGTTTTTAAGAATGAACGGCTCCTTTTCAAATCATGTAGACAAGAAATTAAATCTTCAGCCCGATCTTTATCACTCTCTAAACATGATTAGTCAGAAGGACGCAATATTTAGAAAATTTGCTAACTCTGTTCACAACTTCTCTTATGATGCTAGGGATAGTAGGAGCACTACCCTTGGCAATACCGGAAGTGAAAATATGACTGGAGCGTCCTCAAAGCTGAAAAGAATGTACAACAAATGAGAAAGACATGAAAACTGGAAGAAATTTCAAGCAAAGCGATATCCTAAAAGTAATTTCACTAATCATAAAAATGTGGTTAGTACACTTCCGGTGCTCAAATCCCACAAAGAGAAGATATTAGTACCAAAGAGGACATCTGTAATCAGACGAAGATAGGTACATCTACTAGAGACAAAACAACTAGAAGATAAGTCAGCACCGTGAGTTTTATTTTGCTAGGCGTTATTTATTCAGTTTTATTTTTAAAAATGGGGTTTTGGGGTTTTGGGGTTTTGGGG